AATGGTTTCAATTAATGGCGTAGACCATAGCGGTCGATTGCGATACAAAGAGCTTGAAAACTTATTTCAACGTGAAGTATTAAGCATACGTAGAATGCAAAATCTCTGCCTTCTAAACTCAATATGGTTTAAAAAGAGTAACACAAGAAAACATTGCTATTTATAGTGCTTATGTGCCCTTTCTACAACGGTACTCAACAAAGACAATTAGTATAAATGAATAAATCAAACAAGCAGTACCATAGCCTCCTCTATACGGAGAAAGCCTGGCGCGTCGCGTGAAAAGACGGCCGCCGTAAATAGGAAAGGAGGGGCGGAGAAACGGGAGCGGAGAGAACCTTGCCCGCTAGCGCCACAAAAGAGCGAACGGCCAAACGCAGAAACAATCTTTTTTTTTTTTCTCTCTCTTTTCTTGTCGCTATCGTGGAGAGGAGAAACTCAACGTCCACCCTTTCCCGTTTCTCCCTGCGCCCTTTCGAATCGCCGCGCCCGTTTCTCCCGGAGTACGAAAACGACGGTGACGAAAACACAAAAACAGGCGTGGTTCGGGGAGCGGCCGCTCATGACCCAAGCGCTCGCTGTCTAGGTCTGCCCTTTCTGCTCTGCGCTACCATATTGGTCACCGTTCGGCGCGCTCCTCCTCTCCTTTTTCCTGCGGCCGCGCGGCCTATGGCTCCGTCGTCGATGTGCCAGGCTTTCTCCGTATAGAGGAGGCTATGGCAGTACTGAATAAAAAATGCGCTGCTGGCTGTTGAGCTGTTGCAACTGTCTAGCGAATAAAGCTAGCGAATAAAAATAACTTAAATTTGGGAAGTAGCAGCGGTCACAAAACCCCTTTCGAGTATATGTTCGAGGCAAATGGAAAGTGGATATGTACATATTACAAAAATAACAAGGTTTATGCTATTTTAGGTATATTCCTACGTTTCTGATTACCTTAAAATGCAATTCATTTCTGTTTCTGTACGTTATCTTTTCGTTTTTTGCAATGAAGCTACGAGTTTCAAAATGACAAAATCCGTTCGAAAGCGGAATCTATTATTTACGCGACAAAACATGCCTTGTTGCGTTTTTTCTTATTTCTTTTTTTATTAGCATTCGACATTTGGGAGTTTGTGTGTGTGTGTGTGGGGGGGGGGGGGCATATTTTTTATAAGAATAACTTCGCTTCTTTCTGATGTCGAGAGCAGTCGTTATCTGACTCAAGAAGGAACTGACAAAGCAAACGTATTTAATAGTAATAAATGCTGACAATACTAGCTTTGTATTGGTATTTCCTCAATTGATCTACATTGAAACAAGAGGTTAGTAACATCGTTGCTGGCCCCGATATATGTTACTGGGAAGATAGGCCGCTTAGAGAAGTTAAGCGGAAATAGTAGCAAAATATATCCTGGTTCAATTGTAAAATAGAAAATATATGTTATCCTTAAACTATTTTGAATCCCTCAGCAATTCAAAAACAAAATAATCATCCCGCATTGTATTGATTAGCGAGTCTGAGATGTTTCCGCAAACTCACTAGATGCGTAAAAAAGTTACGTGTTCACACAACAAAAGTGGTTCAGAAAAAAACAAAACAAAAAAACATCAATATTTACTTCGTCCACAAAGAACCTCTCTGTTTATAGTAAACATCCGAATAATAAATGCCTATTGAACTCAAAGCGATTATTCAGGCTTGTAGGTTTAGAACAAACTAGAATCCTCGAGCAAAGACAACAACAGCATTAATAATCTAATCGAATTTTCTGGCGGCATAGCCTTTCTTTTTTATCCCTCTGGTGTTCATCTTTCCTTCTGTATGAAGTTGCATTTTATAAGGTACTCTTGCGAGGTTCTGCTTATTTTTTCCTGATTTCGATTAATGCGTTGTCTTTCGAGTATCATATTTTATGTGTATTGACCTTCATATTGTGGATCATTCCAGTCATTGACATAATTAAAAGCATTGTTAATTTCAGCATGAATGATATAAAAAAACTGAGGCTTACTCAAAAGTAACAATATTTTTTTCTCAACCTAACGTTCAAAATTATAATTTTGAAGTCATGAAATTTCCCATCTTGGTGAAACGTATATAACTATTATTTGTAAATTCTCAATATAAAAATCACTATGGAACACAATAATTTTAATAAAATGTTGATATTTTAATTTTTGTAATTGCTTCGGGGTGGTTACACCAAAAAGCTATTGTTTATAAAAGTCGTTCTACGGTCGTGTGCACAGGAAAAACAAGCTCTTATAAGCGTGCATGCATTTAACACGCTAAAAGTACAATAGACTTGATTAAATAGAGCCACTAGATAAAATAGTTTGCCAACGAGCAGCGTGTAATGAAAGACACGCTCAGTTCAGTCGCTTGGCTCTGGTAAACACATAAAGATGTTTTAAAGTTACACCGAATTGCCCCCCTTTTATGTACTTTTATTAAGACCTCTCAACACACACAGGCATCGATAAATCATTCTATATTTATATGTTTCTGGAATTTTTTTTTTTATAAAACGCTTCTTCATTACGTTTTCACCGCCATAAAGTTAAAAACTGGGTGGTGTGTTTGTTTTGCACCATGTTTTATGCGCAAACGCTCACGGCGTATAATTGTTTTAAAGGTAACAGGAAATCCCCCCAAAAAATATGAAATTATTTTTATGAGTTAAGAAAGTGTGTCTTGCTTTCACGCAGCTTGACGGGTAATATCTGTGTTTATATATTTTATTAAACTAGTTCATATTGTAGAAACAAATTCACTCTGTATAGAAGTGAGTGCCAAGACGATATATTCGACTGCTCAGAAGCAAAAATGTGACATAAATGTGAAATTTTCAGATCAAAAATAATGGCAATCTAAACAATTTTATGTCAGTCTTGATTATATATGTTACATATTTGTGATTATGATAAAAAGGAAGTGACGCAGGCATGGCCCTACAAAAATATAAGCAAAACAATTACTTCGTTAAACTTCTACTCACATTTCTCCTTTTCTTTCTTTTTTTTTTTTTTTTTTTGAAAATTTATTAGTTGTTTATGTAAATATAGAAACACAAACAAGACGGTTATTCATTTTCGTGATTCATCGGCCACTCAAAGGCTAGGCGGTAATCTTGCCTTGAAGCAAAAACTAGAATGCAAGGCGATTTTGGTACATCGTTTCTTTTTTTAGTTTTGTTCCTTATGTCGTGGTGTCTGTACACGTAATAGTAGAGCCAAACAAATCATCAAGAGAAAGGCGTACAAAAAAAATCGTTTAAAAAAAGGCCGTGTGGGGTGTGCTCAAATGTCATTCACGTTGATGACGGCTTTATTAAGAGTGCGCCCTCATTTTCAAACCGAAACTGCGGACATACGGGAAATGTTTATGATAACGTTATTTTCTATATATAAAATTTGGTGAATATAGGGGGGGGGGGAAAATAAGCGCAGCTGAAAATTAAAAAAAAAACACACAAGTCAACAACTTATAAATAGGACACAGTAACAAGAAATGTAGCTGCACCGCGCTTTGAAACCAGGTGTGATATATGGCGTCCAACAACACGACACTACCGTGGACGCTGACAAACGGTCGGTAGTATTTTATACAGAGTTGTTGGCTAAGATAAAGTGAACGAACGTGGACGACCGCAACCAAAATAGGGAGTCGTTGTTCATCTTTTGTTACATCACCCTCACTTCTTTTTCTTCATCCGTTGGATGAAAGGCATCAATAAATCACATAAAATACTTCATAAACATCTATATTTTTATTACAAAAAGCTAAAAAAAAATCCTTTTTTTCGCACGCTTCAAAAGAAACAGTAGTCGACGGATGATACAAGAACAGTGTTTTGTTTTAGTTTGTTGTAAGCACATTTTTTTCTGATATTACACAACACTTTTTTCGGGACCCTTGTGTTCCTTGGCCTAGCTTATAATACCCTGCTGACTGATTGAAAAAAAAAATAGATTAGAAGCCGTACTGCACTGATAAAATTTCAATTCAACTTCCTAAATTTGTGTTGCAGTACCTTAGAAACAAAGCGACCAGCCAAGGTCCGTCTGTTTACCGCCTGCCATAAACATGACTATTATCCTTCGTCGGAGTGATCAGTTAGCATTTTACACACTTGATAACCCTATTACATCGAGATTTAGGCAGATTACATGTTTATAAATAAATACGACGGAAACTTAATTGCGGTAATTCGGATCATGTTTTTTATTTTTTATTTTTGCACTGATCGTGCAATATAATAATCCGGCGCAAAGTTGAGATTGATATTGTAACTGATTAATGGCACCTTGAATAATTGTATCCGCTATGTTTGAGACGTCAGTGGGAGATTCGACGTTGAAACGGAACAGTGAAAGACAACCTCGTGTCCTTTTTAGCGAGATGACAAGTGAGCTGCTTTCATGCCTCCAATCAACATCTTTATAAAATATTTCTTGACTCTTAAAAACAAAATGTATACTTCCAATAGAATACGCAAAGCCACATATCGGGTTAGTAATAAGCGCATCCAAGATATACGTTGTGTGTGAGATTTATGACCCGTCTGGGTCGGGATCCGGACATTTCGGTGTAGGACATTTCGGTGTAGGACGTTTCGGTGCGGACATTTCGGTGCACGGAAATTTCGGTGCACGGATATTTCGGTGTACGGACTTTTCGGTGTTCGGTCGCTTCGGTGCACGGAAATTTCGGTGTAAATTTGAAGTTCGGGAAGTTGAACTTACTTGCAGTTATTCGGACATTTTATGTTCACGCATAAAATATAACAGTTGTATTCATTAAGACATAAAGCTTGTCCCAATTCAAACACGGTTGATTCTGCTCGTTATTAAGACATACATACCTTAAACAAGTTAAATTACTTTCCTCTTTCACACTACGAGGATATTTTCCTAGCTAGCAGGTGTATAGCTAAACACAAACTTATTCGCTTGTCTGACTTTATTCCTGATGGAATGCTCTTTCTGGAAAGTAGCTCGAGATTATAGGCCTTCTGAATACTATAGAAACAGGTAAAGATACACATCATAGGTTAGTCGTGGGTTTCATTATCAAGCAAAAGTCCGAAGCCAAATGCATTCAGAAGCAAAATAGTACACAAAATGTAATGTGGACCACTTTTATTTACAAAAGGCACATGGCCCGGGACCTAGAACGACACGTTGCGGGCAACTCCCCTAAGGAAGCGTCGCACATCACTAGCGTCGCATTCTCTAGCAAGTGTCTTTAACCGTTCTGCAGCCTTCGCGTATTTCGAGGCCTGCTTGAAGCGCTGGCCCATCTCGAGTCTTCCAAGCCGGTGAAGTTGCAGGGCGTCTTCTCGTTGTAGCACCTCCAAGAATCTCCAGAGAGTTGGGTGCGAGCACTGAACATGAGCTTGGAAGCTCCGGTGCCAGGCTTCCACTGAGTTCGTGGTCTTGGAGCCGCCCTGGAGAACGGTGTCGTGGTGGTTCCATAGCTTAATTGGAAACTGCGCATCTCTTCTGCCCCGTGCCGTTAGCCGCCCAATAAACACATCCTCGAAGTAGTCGACCACCGGGAGAAGTTCTGCGCGGATGCTGGACGCAAGCTCGGTGAATGCCCCCTCCACGTCGTCCTGGGGCACAATTGCAAGAGCTGGGATCATGCGAGCTTCCAGGTTTATGTCGGGGTCAAAAGCATACAGCTCCTGTAGTCCTTCCGACTGAAGTCTGCGGTAGACACATTGCGACAGGTGAAAAAAACACCCGCGCACGTCGGCGCTTGGGAAGACCGCCCTGAAAGCGTTGATAGCCGCCAGTTCGTAATCCACTGTGACGGTCCTTGGCTCGCAATCTCCCCCACACTCGGCGTTAAGGGTGTTCAGGGCTCGCGTGTACGTCCCACAGTCTTTCCGCGTTAGCAAAATGTATGCCGCAGGCAGGATGGAGCCGCCCACTTCGCAGTGTAGACTGTAAACCTGGTAAAACAACTCAGGCGCAACCTTGAACGTCCCGTCGGCGAACCACTTCTTAGATGTTCGGAGAACATCCACCATCTGCGGGCTGCAGAAGATAAGGAAACGGTCCTGGTCTTGCACACCGGAGTCATGCAACAGGAATCTGGACCCGTCAATCTTCGACGCGTACTGCGCAGGGATGACGACGTCTTCTAAGCGTGAAGGGAGAGGCATCGGCCGTTGCTCCATCGCCCGCGCCCTCCTGCATGCAAAAAAGTTGGAAATATTATTGCTGTCACGTTTCAACTATAGGGCGGTTACTCATTATTATTTTACTATATTTTCAATTTTAAAAATGTTTAGGCTAGCCCGATGATAAACTGGACATCTCCATAGCATATGAGGTGGCATATATTTTGCTAAGGTAGCAAAGATGTTAATTCGTAACATTCGTGTATAACACTTACCTTAATGTTCTCTTAACAGTGTCCTGAGGCGGTAAGTAACTGCAAGCTTCCGGTGTCATCTCGGCCACCAGGCGTCCGACGATGGCTTGATTGGGTTCCTCAGTCGTCCGTGCTCTTTCCTTCATTGATGAGTACGCCAACTTGGCCTCTTGGTCCAGTCGGCTGGGAGCATGGCTGTGTTCGTTGATCAGCTTGACAACTTCTTCGTCAATAGTGTGAGCCCTTGCTTTACACTCCAGTTTCCGGCTACATTGCCAGTATGTCTGCGAGGAATAGGCGTTTTTATAAATTATAACTTAGCTAAAGACAGGAAGAGTCGGCGTAACAATCTTCGTACTATTAAAAAAAGATCGCATTTGAATCGCAAACTCAGTGAAAGGCTCACCTTTTCTTTGAAGCAACGTTCCTTGTCATACTCGAAGCCTTCGTGCAGAAGTTTCAGCCCACCGCGGTTACTTCGCAAGTACACAGCCATTTCAGGGAAGTGACGAGTTAGTTTGCACCAACACTGGTTGGCATACGACGAGGCGACACACAAGTGAGTCACCAATAGGGGCGTGTCCTCTAAAACCGGAAGTTCTCCCCCCTCCCTCCGCTTCACATCTGCGGCGTTATGTCCTCTCCTGGACCTTCCTTCCTTTATGATAGAATGCGAAAAATTAACTGGAAAGGGCAGAAATAACTGGTGACATAAGACCAAATGCAGGGGTGCCCCCCTTTTCGCACCTCACCCGCTGAAGGCGAAACAAAAGAAAACGAATTCCTGCCTTGTTTCTCCGTATTGTCAATTTCTCCATAATTCTTCTAGGAGAGAAAAAAGGTTTGTTGAATGGAACGGCTTTACAAAAGGCAATTCCAGTGATAAGCCTATATCCGGACAAGCTATCTTGGGTTGATTGTTGGACACCGCAGGAGCATAACATAGCAGCCGAACAAAGGGTAGACTTACCTCCTCCCTCCCCTGCCCCTACTCTTCCCGCTCTAAAATAGTGATCTTAAAAAAAAAAAAGAAATCGGCATACCCTTATTTGTGTTTTTCGGTTTAGACCAAAAACTACTTATAGCATATAACTAGGATTCCATGCTTTCGGAGTTTAGCTTTCGTCAAATTTGGAGGTTTTTTTGTGTTTTCTTTTCTCAAAAATCTGGCATTTACCGGCGTTTATTTTCGGTAAATACTGAATTCTCAGAAATTACGAGTTTATCGAATTTTATTTCTGGTCAATTTCCAGATCTCCGAAAATGGTGAAGAAAATAAAAAGAAGCTATTCACACTTCGACGGATGAAGACAACGAAATTCACTTTTATTGCACGAACTTTACAGCTGGTGCAATCACGGTTGTTAGGAACTCTATCTCAGAGCTTGCTGTAATAGGTGCCGTCATATTTCGTCAGCTATTGTCGCTGATGGCACGCATATTGACAAGATGAGCCTCTTTTGGCAATTATACAAGTTTTGGAAGGGCACTGGTGAGCGCTCTTGGTACCGTTTTATATTAGAACTAATATTTTTTGTGCTTTGACTTCGATATTGGAGTTTTTCAGATAAACCCGAATCAACGAAAATTTTAGCCGGCGAGTGCTTTTCAGAGTTTTTCGGATATATCCGAAAACACGGAGTCCTACCTATAACTACTCCTGGCGGCGGCCCCGTTCTTCGAAGCATCGTGTTGAGCTTCGTCCATGGCTTTGTCCTGAAGCCCGTATAAAGTTTCATCTTTCCGCTAAAGGCGAATCAGACCAACAAAGTCACCTCCTTGTTCGTTTTAACCAACACCGGTTGGTATACGACGAGGCGACACGCAAATATCAGATGCTTATCATATAACATCGAGTTCTCAAAGTGTAAGGTTAAGGTAAGGCAAGTTTCTGGCATTGTTGACCCTTTTCGTCACAAGTTCCCCGATCCCGGCTTCCCGAAAGAGGCGCACGGTTATCAACCTTTGTCGGAGGCGATAAGACTAGCGTTTATCCCCGTTTCTAAAAAAATATGGCTGTCTTCAGAACACAAAAAGTTAGAGAAGCAGAAAGGTCCATTGTTCTGTCAACTACAAAGAATGAACCAAAAGGAGGGAAAAGTTTCTTATGAATGCCGAAGCGTTCTCTGTAGCGTTCGAGGAAACAAAGCTGAACAGAGGAAGAATTACTTTTTCGTATCAACTTGGGGGCGAAAGATAAATACTACAAGGGCGAGAAAACCAAATCTTGGGTGTCCCTTTTGTGTTCAACGACCATGCACCGAAATATCCATACACCGAAATGTCCATGCATCGAAAAGTCCCTACACCGAAATGTCTTGCACCGAAAAGGCCGCACACCGATAAGTCCGCACCGAAAGTTCCTACACCGAAATGTCCTACACCGAAATGTCCTAGACCCGTCTGGGTCAATAGCAGCAGCTGCTGGGAAACAATTCAATAACAAGGTACACACGAATAGTTTATAAAAGCAAACTTCAACTATCGAAAACATATTACAGTACACTTAAAATATATTCCAATTATATATATATTTTTTTTTGCATATTGAAATTAAGTTTTCAATCAGTATAGTATTCTTATAACATGTTTTGTCTTGTGTTTTTGCCGAGGTAGGCACTGTGTAATGGATATTTCGGCGGTGTTCCAAATCCTTAGCAGTCTTAAGTAATCGCCTTGTTCTTTTGTGAGTTTTCCACCACTTCGGTGTATTGCAACTCGTGCCCTCACAATTTTATTTTAAACATGGCTTCTATTTTTTCTAAAGCCAGGTGCAATTGTTTTGTCATCAAAACAGCACGCACGAAATCCGGAATGGGTAAGACGCGTGACATTTGTTATCTAATTTTTTTTTTTATAATACAACCAAGTCTAATATTGTAATAGCACTTTACTTGTTCATTTTATCCTTGAAACTACACCTCGATAAGAAGCTTCTCGGACAGTGGCATTGTGCGCCCGTGTATTTGGGTCAAGCTAGTGCCAGTAAGCACGTGTAAAGTAAGAAACATTCCAACACACAATCATCGCATGGCCCCTTTTCAAGAAAAAAAAAATTGTGCAGAATCTGCTAAATGGTGGGCATTTCTGCGAAGGATTTTTTTCCGCGATATGACAGCTTATAGTGATAGCCGTTAGTGAGACACAACGCTGGTTCGCGTCGTCGACCGCGCTCCATATCGACGCGGGCCGTTTTCTGCACTCCGCCCAAACATTCCACGGGCCGCTGATCACAACATAACTAGCAAGCAAGATAACACTCCTGGTTATGCATGGTAGTAAGATAGCATGCACGGTCAGAAAAACAGTCCCCACCGGGCGATCTGGCGGTGCACCGCAATAGGTGCCCCTGTGACCCAGAATTAGCACAAACAACAATTCACGGGACATACACAGAATAAAACTGCGTTAGAATTTTACGATAAATTCTATATCAGAAAGCATAAAGAAAGCAAGTGCTTTAGTGCTTCGTCAATGCACCTGAAAAAGTGTTATTTTCTAGACGAATAGCCAGCAAGATGGCATTAATAGTACGGGTTAGTTTCAAGAAACCTCCGTTTGATAGTGCACTTCGTCTTGTTTACTTCCTTGTCTCTGTTTCTTCGGCGTTTATCGTTTAGCACGTGTAACTCTTTGTACCGAAGTGATGTACGAAAACACGCTCCCCTCTTACACAGACAACTGAAATGCTCTTTACTTAATACACTTTTAATGGTTCCAAAACGCTATGAAATTTTCGTCCGGTGTGTTATTTGGCTTGACACGAAACGGCCTACGCAGACTCTATGGTGGGCGCTCGCACCTTTACCGTTCATTCAGTCCATCTCCTACGAAACGAATCCTTAGCGACTCCGACGTCACACCTCAGCTGTCACTGCGTTTCAACGGATCGCGTAAAATGTTTACAATTCTTTTTTTTTTTTTTTTGGTTGGCGCGACAGCGTGGCTTGAGAATCTGGTAATCGAACTTGCGACCACCTCTCAATAACTTACGAGAAATTTGAACGTAGGCTATCTCGCCGGTTGATGACCGGAAAAAAAATAGTGTATCTTCGCCGCTTGTCACCATTATCGAGTCTTCCAATGTCATAGAAGAAGGAAAATGGGACTGTAAATTATAAATAAGAGGAAAAAAAAGTTGTCGTAACATAACTGGATAAACATTTATCCAGGGAGAAAGGAAAGTGAAAGTAGAAAAAAATCGAAATAAAACAACAATCATGCCGACTGCGGAGCTGCCCAGGAGATCTAATCGAACTAGACGCAAGCGAACAAATAACTCCACCCTTGTTGTTGTTGTTTTCTTGCGCCTAGTTCGATAAACAGAGCTGATTTGTATTTTTGTTTGTTCCTGTCACGTTGCCTTTCGGTTTAGTAATGCTTCGCCGCCTCTGTGTGTGTGTGTCTGCGTTTGTTTTGTTTGAGTGTGTTGGGAGAGGTTATATCTTCTTGCCATCGTTATGTGCTGCTGCGGCACATTCGTTTTCTGTTTCCGCAACTGACATGGTCAATCACCCTCCTGTGTGTGTGTGCGCGCGCCCACTCGCCCTCCTGTCCACGCGAGAGAAACAATATCTCCCGTTGTTGTAATTACTCGTTGCTTTATCCCCGACCCTCGTTGTCATTATTGATTTGTTGTTCGGTTCCCGGACCAAGTTGGGTCCCTGATCCAGTTACGGTTGTGTACGCGCTGGGGCTTTTGTTAATAACCTTAGCCGTTTCCTTCTCAGGGAGACAAGAACAACAGAGGGCGCAAGTTGTCAAACTTGCTCTCTTGCTTGGCTCCGTGTATGCTGACTCTTCCAGTCTGCTCGGGAGCGTATTTTTGTTTTCTGGGATTACTGCCCCATCGATTTTTCGGATTGGTTTGCTTGATCCCGAGGGCACGCGGAGAAAGACGGGGAAATAAAATGCAGTCTTCACTGGCACATCTTGCGAATGATGGGAAAATTACCCCCCCCCCCCTCCCCTTCCTTCTACGTTGAATGAGTTTTGATTGAAAGGACGATGGTGGACTCAAATTGGTTGAACAATGTCAATGTACTGAATAAAAAAATGATAGCAAGGATGTTTCTACAAGAATGCGCATAAATATTCATTGAGGAGGAAACTTCACACGTTAATAGAATGAAGTTCTATCATTTTTTTAACGCAACGACATACAATATATTAGAAAATATGTGTATTGTTTAATACAAACTTGTTTGTTTGTGAAAGCAACATTTCAGCAGTCTGATTTCTTTTTTATTCCTTTTGTATGTCGATTCTCTAGTTGGATGCATGCATACATATGTTCAAACTTTATTAAATATTTTTGACGTGAATCCAATAAAATGTATCTCGAATTCACGCTAATCTAATGATCGTAGTTCAAAGATAGATATATATATATATATATATATATATATATATATATATATATATATATATATATATATATATATATATATATATATATATATATATGTAACGTGATGGCCAAGAAGCGACAGCGTTCGATCTTAGGCTACCATTTTTATATCTGTTCGCATTTCTGTCGCGC